CCATACATTTTTCATACAAATTTAAAATTTTTGTCATAACTTTTGCATCTTTTGTCCATTTGAGCTGAAATTTGGCAAGTAGACACAGTGGCTGTTCATGAATATGGAACCGACGATATTTAATGATTCCAAGGGTTGGAAACCCAAGTAAAAGTTGATTTGACCTTTGTTTTGAACGTTTCCGTTACTTTTCACATATATTTAAGACGTTACTATTCATATAATTTTTTAACGTTTTCTTTTAAATAATTTTGACCGTTTTTTCATATATTTTTGATCGTTATTTTTCAAATATTTTTTAACCGTTATTTTTCAAATGTATTGAGTTTTTAGATTTTATTTTCTACTCGAATTCTGTGCAGGGAAAATGCTCTTCGGTCGATCACGTGTGATCACCTCTTTACTAGTTTAATCTATCTAGACGTTCTAAATATCCTTATGTAAGACGGTAAACTCTATCGTTTTTTGCTTTTGGTTTATTCTACAGCATGGAGCTTTAATTAACAAAATATTTGAGTTTTTGTAAGCGTTGCACTTGTACAGAATATTGAATTCTGAACTTTTATCAAAAAAAAGCAAAAATTTATAAAAAAAAAAAACTCTGCAAAATGTTTACTTTGATCGATTTTCAAGTACTCCACATGAAACTTAAGAAAGAGTTTTTAAATTTAAATTAAATTTTTGCTCTGTCCCCTCTCTGACTTTTATCCAAAAATTTTCCACTTTTTAAACGTCTAGACAACTTTTGACTGTTAATTTACAGTCCTTTCCATGTTGTTTTATGATAGTGCATACTTAATTTACCTTATAAAGCACTTATTAAGTAGAAAAATGAAGAATTTTAATTCAATTTATGTACAAGTGCAACGCAAAAGCGTTTATTTTCTTAATCCGTGAAAAAATTATTTAACATATTTCAAATTTTACATTAATTAACAAAATATTCTTTGATTGGAATGTTTTTTATGAAAATATAATATTAAATGAAGATGTTAAGCTGGTTTTCATAAAGCGTTAGTTTAGTAAAATTAAAGTACTAAATTAAAATTTCACGTTCGAGAAGAATTGTAATTCATTTTTCATGAATTCAACTCATCCATGGAATTGCCCATATTTAAGTTATTATATATTTGTAGATGGTGACTTCAACCAAAAAAGCTTATATAGAAAGTTAAGTAAACCTTGCGTTACTTGTGGTTTCAAGGAAAAAAAGGGTGACTGAAAAGTTTTAAAGCAGTGATCAAAATGAATGAAAAAAATTACAGAAGTCCTCGTGTTTAAGCTTTCTCGATTTCTCGGTCTCGACAAATTCTCGAGACCGAGACCGAGACCGAGACTTCCCGGGAATTCCCGGGAATTCCCGGGAAGTCTCGACTTTAAAAACTACTTAAAATTTCGCTGAAAGTAATTAAAAAACACTTAGAACATGTAGATTACGTCTATTTGTTATTGAACTTCTGGATATATTCCTTGTTATGCGATCAGTCAAACTAATTTTATTGTCTTAATACTAATATAAAATATAAAAGAAATACGAAATACGTAATGATAAAAGAAAAGCATAATGATAAGAAAGTGTGTCCCTATTAAAACTATTCTGGGTTTTGGAAATGACTTTTCACAAAAACGATAGCATTTAAGTTTTTGTTAAGCAATCGCTTCCATTGCTTGGTCAAAACATTATTGCTGATTGAAAAATTACGTTCACTCTGGGTAGATGTTGGTTGAATGCTTAGCAGTGCATTATACAGCTGATTTAATAACGGAGTTTTGACTTTATTTCTCTCATACCATGAAAACTCGCGTTTTAAGTTTTCATTAATATTTCGAGTACTAGGCTCATTTGATGTAAATTGCATCAAGCTTAACTTCAAACGATCTCGAAGAGAATTTTGTTGTAATTGAGTAACTTGAGAGTTGGAAGTTGACTGAACTGGTTCATTATTTGTTGAAATTTCCGAAAAATGCTGTTGAAGTATTCTAAAATTATCATTTTTACTTAGATTTTTTTCTTCTCTAGTCTCGGGTCTCGGTCTCGGAAAATTCTCGAGACCGAGACGAGATCGAGACCGAGACTTCCCGGGAAGTCTCGGTCTCGATTTCGTCATCGGGAAAGCATACTCGTGTTATTGATCGAGGGACTTAAGCGCATTTTTGTGTTAGCGATCAGTATTTGATTATGTAATTATTTTGCGTTCATTTACAGATCATGAGAAGATTAGAAGATCATTAATTTTTAGTGCAATTAGCAAATAATTACAATGAATGCTTATATAGAAAGGCTTTGTTATTTAACGGTCAAAAAATAATTTGAAATTTTCCCGCTAAAATTTGCACTTCAAAAACAATAACTGTAGTATAATTAATAATTTGTAGCAATCAATTTCCATACAGCAAGGGTTTATCATTAAATGGTTTTTTGGAATTCAAATTTTTTAACGGTTAATAAATAATTTGAAATTTTTCCCGCTAAAAGTTGCACTACGAACACATTAGTTATAGTATAATTAAATAATTTGTTCCAATGAATTTCTATATACAAAAAGTTTATCTTTTAACGATTATTTGAGATTCAAATTTTCTAACGTTCAGTAAGTATTTGAAAGCTTCCCGCCAAAAGATATACAAAAAATCATTAATTTATTTATCAATTTAATATCTTTCATTCTCATATATAAATTGTTTATCATTTAACGGTAAAGGTCAGGTATATTTTGTGAAGCCGTGTGAAGCCAATGATTTGAGGGGTGCTGACAAGGTGGGTGTCAATTGTGTGGGAGGGGGTCAGGTGGGGATGGGGGCAGGGAGGGTGTCAGGTATTATTTGTGCCAATGATGTAAGCCAATGATTTGAGGGATGCTGACAAGGTTGGTGTCAGTTGTGGGGGGAGTGACAAAGTGGGTGTCAGGTGGGGATTGGGGGCAAGGGGGGTGTCAGGTATATTTTGTGAAGCCAATGATGTGAGGGGTGCTGACAAGGTTGGTGTCAGTTGTGGGGGGAGTGACAAAGTGGGTGTCAGGTGGGGATTGGGGGCAAGGGGGGTTTCAGGTATATTTTGTGAAGCCAATGATGTGAGGGGTGCTGACAAGGTGGGTGTCAGTTGGGGGAGGGGGGGAAGGGGAGTGTCAGGTGAGGGGTGGGTGTCAGGTGGGGATTGGGGGCAAGGGGAATGTCAGGCATATTTTGTGAAGCCAATGATTTGAGGAGTGCTGACAAGGTGGGTGTCAGTTGGGGGGGAGGGGTCCAAATTTGAGGAGGTTTGTGGGAAAAGTTTGGTGTCAGGAATATTTTGTGAAGCCATATAAAATTTTGTGAAGCCATGTGAAGTTTTGTGAAGCCATGCGAAGCTTTGTGAAAAGACATGGTGGGTTTCGGGCGAATTAAAGTTTTAGTGGGATTAAGGGGGTCCGAGTTTGAGGGTGTTTGTGAAGACATTTATAAAAAAATTTTATTGACCTTAAAAACATTATGGTTATTTACGTCTTACAGTTATTTACATAATAATAATCAAATTTTAACCCTGATAAGAGGCGTCACGGGCGCCTCCGGATAGCCTAGTTATAGTATAAATAACAGTCTGTTGCAAAAAAAATTTTCATATAAAAAAACTTGGTAATTTACGGTAGAAATAAAATCGAATTTCTAAACGCTCTCATCACGTGTTTTTTAATATGAAATATAAAAATCATTAATTATAGTACAAAAACACTGTTTCAAGACTTTTAAATGCGTTTCCCGAAAATAAAACAATGGACCTGAGCTAATAAAACAAACTAGAACTCTCTACGATGTCTAGTTAAAAAATTTTTCTCCGCCCGAACGAACAGACAAAGTGAGAAATTAAGCTACCTTTTAGAAACAAGTTTCAAAAATGCGCTAAAAATCTGTGATGAAAATCATCATTATTTTTGATGATGAAAAACATTATGATTTTTTTCATTTACGTAAATTATTACGTAAAGTTTCATCACGTAAGTATCATTTTTTTACGTAGGATTTCATCACGTAAAGCAAAAATTGACGTATAAAATGTTTCTATACAAGTTTTTTAAGCAAAATTAATCTATTCTATCTCTTGTTCTTAATATTTAGCATAATGAATTCATTTTGTGTGATTTCTGATAAAAAAATTTTACTCTACTAACTCACTCATACAAATTAATACTAAAATAATTTCCGGCCACTTAAAAAAAATTAGTTAAAAACAATTAAATTTTTTTTTTCAGTGCCCTTATCCTAAGTGATCATGATCAGTGACTACGCTCACTGATTATCATCAGTGATTACAAAATTAGAAATATTGCATGCTAGTTTGCAACTTGCATACAAGTTCTGATCATGATCAGACGCGATAGTGATCATAATTGCGTGATCGAGTAGGTACAGCACCGTCAATGAAATAAATTTAGTGATGATGAAAAATTTATTGATCACAACTCCGTTTCATCATCACAAAAGTCTCGTCTGATCGTGATCATTGGCTGTTACGTTTTACCATTAACAATTGTTGTTTGAACAACAGAATACAGAGAAAAATATTACTAATAATATATTATATGATATCAAGGGAGTTCCATCATCGTGAAATCATTTGCTCGATTAAAAATTTAAGGGGACCAAAAAATATTTTTTGAAAGTATTTGTTTGCAAAGTGAGAAAATGTGCCATGAATTTTGAAAAATGATCAAAATTCTTGTTAATATCAGTTTCTTTTGAAGTTCTAATGCTGAATTACAAGCAACGGTCATATCATTTTCATAAAATATGTAGATTTAAAGATTAGAGAGGTTTTGGTTTCATTACACATTTTTTTAATTTTTTCAAAAAATATTTTTTTTTTGGGTCCAGTCAATCTTAAATTAAAGTTCGTCATTTTATGATGACGCAACTCTTTTGATGCATATTGAATAAATTATTTTTCGATCGGAAATTGCAGGAACATGTTATTATATGAATATTATACTATCTTTTTTGATAGTTGTTTACAACATTTATTTTGAAGTTATGATATTGGTAAATCTATGTTTTCTTCTTTAATAAAAAGATTAGCCACTTAAACATACTAAAATTAATTTTATTATATCGGTTAGTGTTATTATATAGGTCCTAAATGTTAGATGTTTTCTAAAATAGAATCTTTTGATTTAGCCGTAGTCATAAATCAAAACAAAAAAGAAACAAACAATCACGACCTTAAAAATAGCACTGATATAAGTTAGTAAAATTTAATTTTTAAAATAGCTTGCAATATTACGAATGAAATATTAATATTACTAACTATTAATATATTAGATAATAATCTTGAATCAATTGGAAGTTAGCACTTATAACGGTGCATTTCCCTGTTGCTGTTGTTGTTGATAACGTCCCTCCTCGCCACCCTATATGTTTAAAAATATTGCAGAATTAGAATATTATATAATTGCACTGCACTAAAATATCTGAAATGAAAAATTTGAGCTCGATTGGAACTTTAGAAGTGGTCAAAAAATCGATTGCAGGATTTGAACGTGACAAAGAAACCAACAGAAAGAGATAAACTATAACAAAACGGACTTTTATGCCAAGTTTCAATTCATTTGGAGCTCTTTTACAATTTTTGTTTTTTTTTTTCAGTTTGCATTAGGATAAAGGGATATAAAAAGATGTTGGAACTAGCTAATTCCTTCACAAAATTCACTTATACTTACTGAATATATGTTTTTGGCTTTAAACATAATTAAATCTTTACTGGATCTTGGTTCCAAGTTTTAGACATACTTAAAACTTTACTGGATCTTGGTTCCAAGTTTCAGACATGATTAAAACTTTACTGGATCTTGGTTTTTTCTTCTTAACAATTTTTGCTTTTCCATTTCCCCCTAATTCAAACTATGTTATTATTGTCATCAGGAAATTTTAAGTAAAAATATTGATACTACGTATATTGAGCATAGAAATAAATTGCAGGCTTCTAACTATGAAACCAAAATCGAAGCCAAAAACTTAGTGAAAAAAAACTTAGTTTTGTTAAAAATCCCAAATCAATTGAGAACTGTAAGATTTATAATAAAAATGGGACATCAGTGATCTCATATTGTTAACACAATCTCGCGGAGAATAGGTTGAGAAACACTGATCATAATGACAGACAGACCTCACCAGTGCGTAAAATACTAAGAAATGTTTAACTTACACGTTGATATGCTTTACTTGTTCCTCTTTTAATTGTTGAGTCTTCATACCGAGTGCCACTTTGTGATGCCATGGGACGGTTAAGAGTACTAATAGCATTATTCGGTGAGTTTGGCGTAGCATTCCTTGCTGCTATTGTTTTCGTAACAAAATCTTGTTCTTTCCAGCCATGCTTTTTATATACATCACGAAGTTCTTGATGCTGCCACATAGTATATAAAACTTGTCCAGCAAATTTCAAAACCCTAGGAGTATATTTTTGTCGTTGTTTGGTAACATTCATTAGCCTTTCAACTCCTCCAGCATCTAGGAGCGATCTTGAAAATTCTGCATTCTTTTTAATTACTTCGTTTAATGTTGCCAAAACAGCAGCAATAGTGTCATCTGAAGTTCCTTGATCGTGTTGAGCATTTCCAGATGGTAGTTTTTGAACTAAATCACGCATAGCATATTTACCGATTAATTCTTTATTGCGTTGATCTATGGCGAGATTTCTTAAGGCTGTTGCTACAGCGCAAACAACTCTATCAACTTCCATTCTTAATAACTCAACAAGAATCGGTAAGCCTTTATCTTTTCGGACTGCTGCGCGAATTTCTATGCTCGGCTGCCAATAACAAGCTGCTAAATTTTGAATTGCACCAGCTGCAGCTTCTAATGTTTCTGGATTACTACAGCTTTGCAGAAGTGCAAGGTATGATTGTACAACTTCAGGCTGCCATAACAATTCATAACCTTTAGCAGGGTCGTTATTATTTCTTTGCAATGAATTACTTCGAGATGAAGCTAAATTTCCAGATGCTCCATGTCCAGAAATTCCACCATTATTATTTGCTACCATATCTAAAGATCCCTCCTTGTTATCACTACTCTGATCTTTTTTCTTTTTGCTTGCACCGAAACATCCTAAATTATCATTTCTGGATGCCGAAGAAGCTGATCGTATTGGTTGTGGTATCGGTTGTCTGTCATAGTTTGGATCTTCTACTTCTTGGCACCGATAGGAAAGATTTCTTAGAATGCAAACACAATTTTCTACAATTTTATTACCAATATTTGTCTTTTCTATTGCAACTTTAACAACATAAAGCAATGCATCTACCAAACCATCTGATTCTCTCAGTTTAGTTCGAGCATACTCTCCAGCTGAACTAACATTTCTTAAAATTCCACTTGCATTTCTAAAAACTGTACTCCAACATGTGTCACCTGGATTAATCGGATCGTAACCAGAGTGTGGAATCACGATGTAAGTAACAATGACAGAACAGCCGTCATCAATAATTGACCTTTTAATATCTTCACAAGAAGACATATTCCATATTACTCCCGTTACTAGTTCTTTAATGTCGCTCTCAGTTGACCTTCTCAAAAGGTTTATCAATGCTGTTATTCCACCAGCATTTTTTATTGCACGTTTATTTTCATCATTTTGTCTGCCATATGACAAATTTCTTAATGCTCCAGAAACATTTCTGAAAACGTCTGGGCTTTCGTGAGCTAAGAGTTTGACCAGAATCGGAATACCACCAAGAGCTCGTGTTCGCTGTTTATTTGGATCATCCATGTAGCATAGGTGCTGTAAATAAGCAGCTGCGTTTGCTTTGATAGCATTGTTTGGATTATTAAGAAAATTAATAACTTCTGTCAAGTTTGGATCGCGCCATCTCATTTGACCAGACTGGTTGGTATCCTGATTTCCACTTCCACTTGCTAACTGTACACCGGATGCACCTAATTGATGATTATGCATTGAAAGATTGGACATGTGCTTTTGTAATTCATCATCATCATCGTCAACTGCCGTTCCAGTATAACCTCTGCCATCAAAGCCTGGATTAGCACCACTATTGTAAGGTGAAGTGGAAACATATCCATAAAATGCGGCTGCTGCTGCATTAGGATCATCAGAGTATCCACTTGCTGGAATAATTCTATAATCATCATACTGCGCTTGCAAATACGATGCATTCTGATGTTGTGGCACTTGTTGATGAATTTGCAGAGGTGAATTTGACTCCAGCTGTTCTGGAGACGGCGAAGTTTGCGAGCGATCAAATTTATTCCTGTAAAATTTCAAGCATTTTAAATCTTTATTTAATTAGATGCTATGTGAAATATACTAACTGTGTTGCTGCTGGATACTGTTCATAATCTTGATAGTGCTGATGATGATATTGAACTGCTGATGGATCACCAATAAACATGGCTGAACCAGCATCTATTTGATTGTAATTAACATATTGATTGTGAGGCTGGTACACTCCCATTACATAATCAATAGGCTGTCCATATGAGTCAGATTGATCAGTAGATGCTCCAAGGTGTTTGACTTCCCTCACAACTTTCGTTACAGTTGTAACTTGCTGAGTTGTTTGTTGCTTATGAGTTCTTTGTGCAATAGCATAAGTATCCTCACTGTGCACAGACATGTGGGAAGGCGAGTGTTGACCATTAATGTGACTAAAGAATTAATTAAAAAAATTAATTGATTTTGTTTTTAGTTAAATTCTATTTATGTTATTGAACATACTTAAAGTGCTGCATGTTTTCTTTTTCTCTTATTGGATGTACAAAATGCTGTTAAAAATTTCTTGTAAAGTAAGAATTGCAAACTCCTTCGCTTTTATTACTGTCTCTATGATACCTTAAAAATATGACCGATTTCATTTTTAATAAATTAAAAATTAATAAGCCATTTATAAAGTTTTCAGTTTGAATTAACTTTAAACATACCTCAAATGACATCCTATTTTTTATGTCATTGCTGGTGAGTATTACAGTATTAGAATTTTATTTACTAATTTTTATTTAAAGAGTGAAAATTTGGAATCTTAAATTTTAATATTGTTTCTAGACATTTTCTAGCGGCCTTTTTTTGGATGTGTTAGTGCGAAGAGATCTTACTGTATGATAAATATATTTTTATTAATTTCAGGTATGATAATATAGTTTCTAAGATTCACATCTCAATTACAACAATAAATTTATACTAAAGAAATCATTAATATTAGTACAATTTATTGATTTTTCGCATATACAATTCGTACTAAGAAAAAAACATTGCTTTCGTCATTTAAAAAAAAAATAAATTCCAAACACACCTTAACTAAACTTTTTAAAATGTTTCTGATTTCTTTCTTTCTTTTTCAATAGTTTGAAAAGTTAATACACATTTCTAAATTCATAAATTAGAATTTTTCATGTATTTTTTTTATTTAAAAACACCCTTTCTTGTACATATTTATTTGGAGACTTAAAAACATTTTCTAGATGACTACATGTGTTAGTTTCGGAGATTTAATTTTGCTTTTATTTGAATTTGACCTTTGCTGAGTTGTTTAAAAGCTGCTTTACCCGTTATTTTCACGAAAGAAATATTTTTGTATCTGTCTTTTTTTTATTAAACTTTTTATTTATTTACCTTTAAATTTAAGTATGTACAGTTTCTATACAATTTGTTGCTTTCGGTTTTTTAAGGTTTCAGACATTCAATTTGCCTTTTGCCTTTTAACTTTTGGTTTAGTTTACGGATTTTGTTTTATTTGATTTTTAATTTGATTTATTCGGTGTTTTGAGACGCAAGACGGAATTTTCCCACGTAGTCTTCGATGCACGGTATTTTCGCTTCTGCATGAAGATCGGTGATCCTTTCATATCTTGTTTTATTGAGAACAATTCTCAAGAATTTGTTTTGCAGTACTTGAAGTTTTTGAAAATGGGTTTTTGCCATGCTTCCAAATGCTGGACAACCATATGTGAATATTGGTCTCATGGCTAGCTTGTAGATGAGAAGTTTGTTTCGTACGTCGAGTTGTGAGTTCCTGCTGATGAGCGGATAAAGCTGTCTTAATGCAGTGTGAGCCCTATTGGTCACATACTCCACATGCGGCTTTAATGTCACTCTCTTGTCGATCACCATTCCCAGATATTTAGCTTCTGTTTCCCATTTGATGTTTTCGTTGAGAAATTTGATGTTATTTCCTGGAAGTTGCCTGGAGTGCCTGTTTGTGATGAATAAGGCTTGAGTCTTCTGTTTGTTGAGGTTGATCTTCCATTTGTTCATGTATTGTTGAACTTTTCTTCCTGTCTGCTGTAGATGTGTTACAATATCGGTCGAGTTCTCTGCAGAATGATACAGTGCTGTATCATCTGCGAAAAGACCGATGTTGTTGGTTGTCTCTCTTACAACACCATACGTGAAGATGTTGTAGAGTTGGTGAAAGCACTGCTCCTTGTGGCACTCCGAATTTGATTACCTCAATTTCTGAGAACTGACGTTTAATAAAAGCTGCAAAAGATCTTTCACTAAGGAAATATCTCAAATTTTTATATTCACGCCGTATTCACGTGTGAATCTATTGGTTTTGTTCAGATTGAAAAATCAGTTTTTTTGAATTTTTCGGGAAAACGAAGCATAAAGATAAATCAAGGTCCGCATCAAAAATTTTGTGCCTTAAGTTTTACATCGTAATCAAAAATCAGAATTGAAATTGATTAAGGCATTGTTGAGAAAATCGCAAAATTCATTTTCTGTAAGCAACCAAACAATCGGATTTTGCAATCGATTCGTGTTGCTCTGCAAAAGAACTGATTAGTTTTTGGGATTGGCAGGAACAGCCATTGCTTCAGAAAAAGCATAAAACCTTCCTTTCTTACGATTTTTAAAAACCAAAGGTTAATGTGATTTTAATAAAATTGAACTTTGGATGAAATTTTTTGTTAAATTTTTTTTAAAGAATGTTTGGCATATTCGTTAAGCTTTAAACCTTCAATTAAATTTGAAATTTTCTGTTTGACTTTTCATAACGGGAATATTTTTTTTTGCTTTTCGATCTCAATGTTTTTTTCAGCAAATTTTTAAGAGGTTATTGTATATTGGGTTCCATAAAATTTAGATCTGGTCAATCATATATAAATTTTTTTTTCAAGACTGAGCTTACGAATTTCTCAAAAAAAAGCAATGAAGTAAATTATTCTAAAACAGAGTTTAGGAATACTTTTTAAAATTCAACAAAACTGCTGCAATCTACAGTTTACAATGACAAAGCATAAAAAAGGTTTGTAATATGCAACAAAGTACAAAGGAAATAAAGCAAAAAACATCGTGTAAATTGAAAGTGCAGTAATATCCAGAATTAAAAGATGTTCCACAGTGAAAAAAATCATTTTCCAAACAAAATTATAAAACTGGATGAAAACTAATGATATTAATACAAATTTAATGCTCAACATTTTCAAAGAAAAACCTTATAAAGACTCAAAACTGTTCAAAACATAAATTTTTTATTACATATTTTCAGTTTTTAAAAAAAAGGCTGCACTTTGGCTGCACTTTGGTCTACTATGCCTGCACCTTCAGTACTTTATTGCACTTTGCTGCACTTACAGCACTTTATTGCACTTTGTTGCAATTCATTGCACTTTGCTCAACTTTGCTGCACTTCATTGCACTTTACTCTACTTCATTCTACTTTTTTGCACTTTTCTCAATTTTATTCCTCTTTGAAGCAGAATATTGCATTTTTCAATAAATTTTTGCAATTTTTGAGAAGCCCTCACCCCTTGATATTAGCATTCTTTATCATTTTTAATACCTAGATATGTTTTAAAATGCAATTTAAAGCATTTTTGGTTCCGATCATAGTAGGCTATTTTCAAAAAATATCGATTTTATATCTATATTAGCATTCTTTATCATTTATAATACTTAGATATGTTTTAAAAGGCAATTTTAAGCATTTTTGGTTTTGATCATAGTAGGCTATTTTCAAAAAAATATCGATTTTATATCTATATTAGCATTTTTTATCATTTATAATTCCTAGATATGTTTTAAAATGCAATTTAAAGCATTTCTGGTTTCGACCAAAGTAGGCTATTTTCAAAAAAAATATCGATTTTATATCTATTTTAGCATTCTTTATCATTTATAATACCCAGATATGTTTTAAAATGCAATTTTAAGCATTTTTAGTTTCGATCATAGTAGGCTATTTTCAAAAAAAATATCGATTTTATATCTAAATTAGCATTCTTTATCATTTATAATTCCTAGATATGTTTTAAATTGCAATTTCAAGCATTTTTGGTTTCGATCATAGTAGGCTATTTTCAAAAAAATATCGATTTTATATCTATATTAGCATTCTTTATCATTTATAATACTTAGATATGTTCTAAAATGCAATTTTAAGCATTTTTGGTTTCGATCATAGTAGGCTATTTTCAAAAAAATATCGATTTTATATCTATATTAGCATTCTTTATCATTTATAATACTTAGATATGTTTTAAAATGCAATTTTAAGCATTTTTGGTTTCGATCATAGTAGGCTATTTTCAAAAAAATATCGATTTTATATCTATATTAGCATTCTTTATCATTTATAATACCTAGATATGTTTTAAAATGCAATTTAAAACATTTTTGGTTTTGATCAAAGTAGGCTATTTTTCAAAAAAAATATCGATTTTATATTTAGATTAGCATTTTTTATCATTTATAATTCCTAGATATGTTTTAAAATGCAATTTAAAGCATTTTTGGTTTCGATCAAAGTAGGCTATTTTCAAAAAAATATCGATTTTATATCTATATTAGCATTCTTTATCATTTGTAATACCTAGATATGTTTTAAAGTGCAATTTAAAGCATTTTTGGTTTCAATCATAGTAGGCTATTTTCAAAAAAATATCGATTTTATATCTATATTAGCATTCTTTATCATTTGTAATACCTAGATATGTTTTAAAGTGCAATTTAAAGCATTTTTGGTTTCAATCATAGTAGGCTATTTTCAAAAAAATATCGATTTTATATCTATATTAGCATTCTTTATCATTTGTAATACCTAGATATGTTTTAAAGTGCAATTTAAAGCATTTTTGGTTTCAATCATAGTAGGCTATTTTCAAAAAAAAATATCTATATTAGCATTCTTTATCATTTATAATACCTAGATATGTTTTAAAATGCAATTTAAAGCATTTTTGGTTTCGATCATAGTAGGCTTTTTTCAAAAAAATATCGATTTTATATCTATATTAGCATTCTTTATCATTTATAATACCTAGATATGTTTTAAAGTGCAATTTAAAGCATTTTTGTTTTCAATCATAGTTGGCTATTTTCAAAAAAAAAATATCTATATTAGCATTCTTTATCATTTATAATACCTAGATATGTTTTAAAGTGCAATTTAAAGCATTTTTGGTTTCAATCATAGTAGGCTATTTTCAAAAAAAAATATCTATATTAGCATTCTTTATCATTTATAATACCTAGGTATGTTTTAAAATGCAATTTAAAGCATTTTTGGTTTCGATCATACTAGGCTATTTTCAAAAAAAATATCGATTTTATATCTACATTAGAATTCTTTATCATTTGTAATACCTAGATATGTTTTAAAATGCAACTTAAAGAATTTTTTGTTTCGATAATGGTAGGCTATTTTCAAAAAAAATATCGATTTTATATCAATATTAGCATTCTATATCATTTATAATACCTAGATATGTTTTAAAATGCAATTTAAAGCATTTTTGGTTTCGATCATAGTAGGCTTTTTTCAAAAAAATATCGATTTTATATCTATATTAGCATTCTTTATCATTTATAATACCTATATATGTTTTAAAATGCAATTTAAAGCATTTTTGGTTTCGATCATATTAGACTTTTTTCAAAAAAATATCGATTTATATCTATATTAGCATTCTTTATCATTTATAATACCTAGATATGTTTTAAAATGCAATTTAAAGCATTTTTGGTTTCGATCAAAGTAGGCTATTTTCAAAAAAAAAATATCGATTTTATATCTATATTAGCATTCGTTATCATTTATAATACCTAGATATGTTTTGAAATGCAATTTAAAGCATTTTTGGTTTTGATCATAGTAGGCTATTTTCAAAAAAAATATCGATTTTATATCAATATTAGCATTCTATATCATTTATAATACCTAGATATGTTTTAAAATTCAATTTAAAGCATTTTTGGTTTCGATCATAGTAGGCTACTTTCAAAAAAAATATCGATTTTATATCAATATTAGCATTCTATATCATTTATAATACCAAGATATGTTTTAAAATGCAACTTAAAGAATTTTTTGTTTCGATCATGGTAGGCTATTTTCAAAAAAAAAATCGATTTTATATCAATATTAGCATTCTATATCATTTATAATACCTAGATATGTTTTAAAATGCAA